ATGCGGCGGTCTCCCGCTTAGTTGTCAAAAGCTAATTGCATACATGGATTTTCGATATGGATCTTCTCTTGTGTGAACTTACCACCTAGTAACATTTGACACTGGGTGAAATCACTGTCTTACTCTCGTGCTGTCCGTAAACAGCGTTTCCGTCTTCCCTTAATGGGCTTCATTAACGGGGAGAATTTACCGATTTCCGGGAATCATCGGAAATACTGTTACACACCTGAGCATAATGTGAACAATTACAAGACCCGATGGGGTCATTAGGTCAATTAGTGCTGATCTCTTTATCCCGAACTTGAAAGTAATTGCACAGATTTTAAGTAGTTGGTGTCGTCTGCTTGGGTGAGCGTTCTTTTCAGATAAAGTAGCTTACGCACTCAGTCATTAAACATGTTAGACCTATGATACCTGTCCCAATCATGTAATCTGCGTCTACGAGCTCCAAGATAATAGTAACAAAGCAGAAACTAGGTTTATGAAGAAGTTTCGTTCATAAAGCTCGAAACGTTTGTCAGATGCTAAGTTCGCCAAATACATATATAGAAAATACGCGTCAATATGTCCGATCTAATCCGCTTTCCTTCCTCGAATACAGGCTTGGGTCGCGCGTGCTGAATCATACTTTATCAAACCAGAGAGAGCTTGAACGTGCCGACAACAGTAACAAATGCAACGGGAGCGCGTCCCACTGAATGGTATCACTAGGACCAAGCAACTAGTGCAAAAGTTGAAGTACAAATCTCAAGTTCGAACATCCGCAATCGTCTGCCTAAAGGTAATGTACAAGAACTACTTGTGTAGACTGAACAAATATTCTACTTTAGATAATTCGAATATTCATACTGGACATTTGTTCTCCGCTGTCCTGCTAGTTCGCAGCTTTTAACATTTTTCGTATCATTTCGCAGACCTGCAGGTGGTCACAATGTGGAACGAACGATTTCAAAAGATAGTTTTGTCAAAGTTTTGTCACTTTAGACTAGTGGTCGGTGTCATGTACTATCATGTCGGTCGCCCTCGAATGCAATATTTAATTTTGCTGCGACACTAGTTTGTCAGCTACATGTGATAATATAGTGTGCTTTGGCAAGTCTCAATGATCGTCTGAGCAGGAGTTCTGTTCAACAAACAACTCATCGGTGGCAACCTGTTTATTTGTTATCACAGTCTGTTAGTACATAAAAATATATTTAAGCTATAAACTTGACGCCCTCCGCCCCCTCTCACAACACTCAAACGATGATGGCACTCACTAGCCGTTTGTTCCTCCCTCGTGAACGCCAGTCGCATCGGCCGCGCCGCATCACCCGCGGCGGCCACCAACAATCAAGTTGCCCCCACTGTCAGACCCGATTACCGTGTTTAGCTGCTCTTCTGTCTGCCGCCAGCCCACATCGCCATCGTCATAATCATCATCATCAATATCATCGAGTCGACATCTACTCATCGGAGTAACCATCTTGCCCAGCAAGATGGCCGCGCCAACCAATAAAAAACATCGCACTTGTTAATGCCACAGAATGGCGGCCAACCAGTCAGCGCGACTCGTAATTTGCTTGCCTTTGCATGTGGTAGTAGCAGCGATCTTTCGCCAGCAGCAGCAGCAGTAGCGGCGGCGGCGGCGCTGCTGCCGCCGCCGCCGCCGCCGCCGCAGTGCCTGCAGCAACACACCATAACACAGAGGCAGACAGGCAGCGAACGAAACTCAGAAGCGCCATCGGCGGATGAGGCTGTATCTAGCCTTGTTGTCGGTATCGTCGGCTGCGGCTATATGCCATTAGATGGTTCGGGCCATGAGTGTGTGCGTCTGTCTGGTTGAACGCACAGCTCCGCTGTGTGTCGAAGACGACGACTACTGCTCCGACCCGTAGCGCTGGTAGCGGTGTTTGTTGGCTCCCCTCTCTGTGTCTCTCTGTCTTCGTTCGTGTGCCGCCGAGCCGTACTGTGCTGTGCTGTGCTCCGTGTCTTCGGACTGTGATGGTGCTGCTGCCAGCGGCTGCGTGAGCGCTGGCGTTCAGTATGCAAGTGTGAGCCGCGAGACAGGGCAGCGAGCCAAAAGTGGCAGCCGCTAGTGGTAGCAAGAGTCGTAGCCGAAACGGTGAACGGGCCAGTTAGTTAGCTGAAAGCAGCGGCGGCGGCGGCGGCGGCGGCAGCAGCAGCAGTAGTTGTAGCTAGCCAGTCGGAGAGGTCTGCCAGGCAAAGACAGCAGCGGCCTCTGTGTGATTGCATGTGAGAGTGTGTAAGTGTGCATGCGTGCGTTTGCGAACACCGCCGTCAGCAGCAGCAGCAGTAGTACTACTGTGTTGTGCGAGTTGCTTCGTGCGCCCGCTGCTGGCAGCTTCATAGCCACGGCTGTGGGCTGCCTGTTCCCTGGCGTGTTGTCGTGTGCTTAGTGTATTGCGTCGCTAGCGGAGGACTGCCACCGGCAGCGAGTCAAGCTGAGCCGACTCGGCACACAGTCACAGCAACAGCAGCAGCAGCATCAACAGAGCTAGCTGGTCGCCGCCATCGCGGCCGTCGTCGTCGTCGTCGTCGTCCGGACTAGAAGTAGTAGTAGCGCTGGCTCGATCGGTCTCGGTCGGTCGGTCGGTCGGTCGGTCGGTCGGTCGGTCGGGCGGTCGGTCGGTCGGTCGGTCGGTCGGTCTCGATTGGTCCGTCGCTAGCTCGATCCATTCTTTCGTTCGTGCTGTGGCCTGTGCTGCTGTGCTGTGGCCTGTGCTGCTGGCCGTGCTCGTCCCTGGTCATAGTGGTGATATTCGTAGTTGTAGTGTTGAAGACGGCAGCAGCAGCCGCAGCAGTAGTCACAACAACGCGATGTTGTGTTATTGTGATGTTTTGGCCGTCGTCGTCGTCGTCGTCGCCGTCGTCGTCGTCGTCGTCGCCGTCGTCGTCGTCGCCGTCGTCGTCGTCGCCGTCGTCGTCGTCGCCGCCGCCGCCGCATTCGGGGGTACTGGCATTGATGGCATTACGGTGCAGTGACTGTGATGTTGTGTCGTGAGCTACGCTGGCCCGGAGCTAGCAGCAAATACAGCCAACATCGTCGTTGGCAGTACAGCAGGAACCATCATAGTCGGTTGTTGGCAGGCCACGAACGACGAGCCTAAACCAAAGTAAGGCAAAACAGAGCTTGGCAAGCAGGCGGCGAACAGGCAAACAACACGAAAAGCAACACATAACGCAAGTTTTCGCCAAGCTCTTCCACGAAAGATATTATTGCCTAGCACCATGGCCAAGCCGAACGCAAGCTGAACGGTTGTTGTAACAGCCGTCGCCGCCACTTATGAAGCGTTCGCAGCGATGTGGGCATTTATGAGTTTGTGCAACTTGCGAGAAGTTGATTTCGTGTGACGCCGATACTGAGTACGTCGATCGTGATTACCTTGAAAGACAACAAAAGCGACCGCAACGAAGAGAGTTGACTGAAGTTAACGACATCATTTCAACACTGGGGTGGATACACCTGTCTACAGTATCTGTGTATGTACGTGTGAGCGTCGATGAATTTTTTTGTCCACCATTTCTACAAAGACTACTGCTGCAAGATCTGATAGTAAGTTGTACTATTTCTGCAAGAAGTGGCCTTAGGCCACTGTATTGTTTGTTATCAGACGGCCACAACATCGTACCTATTTTACGGAGCGCGTTTGGAACGATTGATGCGACACGACAAAGTGTTGTCGGGTCCGATCGGCGCCCTACATGTGCTTAGTGTTTAACTACTGCGTTTATGCGGAACTGTCGAAACGGCGAAAAGACTATTGGACTAAGCCAGCATTGTTTACGGCAAATTCATACTGCTGCCCTTCAGTGGCAACAGGCCACCGCAGGCCGTAGCCGGAGCAGCAGCAGGCTTCAGCAGCGTGCAGGTGAGCTGCAGGTGGCGGGGGGCCGCCCCGGCTCAGCTGTCTGTCTCAATACAGCAACAGCGACACCAGTAACAGTAGTAGAACCATTACAAGTAATTTTGTTATAAGATTGTTGTTCGTATCAAGAGCGCGGCAACATCTGCACTACAACAACAACGACGACAATAACAATAGCAGCTGCAGCAGTAGCTGCGGCTCAAGCCGTGACACGACGTCACCGAGTCCATAGATTACGATGGTGAATCAGCGGGATTCCTGTAGTACGAAGACCATCCGCAACGTTTCGATTATCAGCGACGAGAGCCAAAGCGACACTACGATTCGCGAACAAACCAGGAACAGTTGTAACGAGCTTTTTTGCAGCTTTTACTGTTGTCCCTTGAGCGAATACAACGCAGAGCTCAACTGCAGTGATACCCGCTTCAGCGGACAGCCAGTGCAGCTTCAGCGTCGTCGTCGTCAACAACAGCTGCAAAATCAACAAGTCTCCCTCGCAGGACAACATCAACGGAAACCGCAGCTAGATACTTGTCGTTGTCGCAGTTGTCGACAACTTTCGCTAAATCGCCGCCGCCGCCGCCGCCTCGTCGTTGTTCTCATAGCACTGCTAGTGGTAGAGGTGTTTCTACGTAAAGCTGTTACGGACCAAACGGCCGTTGCCGCGGCAGAAATCGTGGCTACTGATGCATCGGCAGCAGCACTAGTACGGATCGTGCTTGCCCGAACAGTGAGAATTGTCCCCGAAATCCTTTACCGCTGCGAACAACAACAGCAACAAATTCGATCCGCCGCCGCCTATGCCGCTGTAATAGCAGCAGCCTTGAGTGATCATCCACAGGGGCCGCAACAACGACACGCATCCTTTTGCAGTAGCAGCAGCGTGTCGGGGCACGGCAAGTGTCGCATCTCGACCAATAATAATAATAAGCAGCATCGACCGCGCCACCGACTGCTTAACAAGGACACTAACATTGATAGTGATATCGACGACGACAGCTATACCAACAGATACAGTGTAGCGGCCGCTTCGACGTGCGTAGCTCCAGCTACCCGTCGCAATAGTGGATTTTCATTTTGTTCAGTGAAAACGACGTCCGAATCAGCAGTGAAAATCGGCGCCTTCGCTGGCGAGCCCGTGGCCGCGCTGCCGGCCGCTTGCAAATAGGCGTATAGCAAGCAGCCTTGCGGGCCACAGGCGAACATTTAGGTGCGTCCACGTCTACTTTAGCAATAGGAAATAGGTGTTGGTGCTAGTGCTGGTGTTTATTCTTTAATGTTATTACGGCCTCCGTTGTTGTCGTCGACGGAGACGCGCGATAGTTTGTCGCGATCTTAGCCAGAAGTGTCGTGTTTTTCTATTTGAATAAACATAGTGTAGTCAGTCACTTAGATGGATGTCAAGTTTCTATGAAGTTAATATTTTCCCTGTTGAGGCTGACGGCTGGATCACAATCGACGAATTTTCGTTGGTCTTTATGGAGTCCCCGAGGAAGTTTCATGGGCCGTTCTGCGGTTTTATCACGGCCGTTGCTTCACGTGCTTGCTGTATTTGTGCATGTGTGTATGTGTGTGTATCTGTGATCATCGTGTTATCGTATGGCGCGCTTGATGAAGATCGTGGAGTGGCCCTAGGTTTCAGTTCTGCGAGAGTTTCGATTGGATTTTGGTGCAATATTTCAGCATAAGGCCCATAACAATGCTGATAGAGTCGTTAGATGTGTTTTAAAGGGGTACGCGTTGTTTTGGTGTGCGCGAAAAATTAGCAGACGTTGTGGGCAGAGGAAGTGGGTGACGAGGGAACTGTCTGATAGAATTGGATATGTGATACCATGATAATGCCCAGTACTCCCGAGAGGGAGAATCATTCGTTGCTTGACCACCGGTGGTGGAAACTCGGCGTTTGTGCGTATGTCGTATAAAGAGGATCTAATTTCGGTGATTATGCGTGCAGCGATCTAAAGGTGTTTCACGCCAAAGTGAGCTCTGTCATGTGTTATCTGTACCTGCAACAGTTCAAAGAGGTCCGAAAAATCGAACTTTTCCATGCGTGGATATGATTAGTACCACGTTCGTATGCTTAATACAGATTAGTGTATTTTCCGTATCATGAGCGACGTGCAGATTCAGTTCCCTGAAGACGGTTCGCGGAACCCAAGGCAGTAGCCTGGTTGTCTTCAATGGACCTCGCTGTGACGACCGTCGGCTCAGTAAGGAAGAGAGAGCTATGACGTTTCATCAGCATGAAGCTGTATTTCACTGATTGGCCGCGGTTGACGTTGCCTGCTGTTATCGAAAGAGTTATTGATTTTTCAGTTAGTCCACACTATGCGCCCACTACCACTCTACCGGGGCGCGAGGGTTTCCATTCTAAACCCACTTCTGAATGTCTCGCCGTGTTTCTATTCTCTTACTTGTGTTAATGCAATCGATCTCAATGTGCAATGGATATCTTTTTCTTCACTTCGACAAGTGTTTACGACGCCGGTGTTCATTATAGTAGCTTTAGCAGCGGCGTAAGCAGTGACTTCGTGATAACAGACCCTGGGCCCGCTGTTTTCGCAACATAATTGCCAATCGCCTCAACCTAATCGGTTGCCTTTCCGTTCCTCCGCAAATCCTCTGGCGTGGCATAAATGGCAACAGTATAAAGGACGGATACCTCATCTTTTCTACTCGAAAAATGACTATACCTTCAATGCGGTGCAGTACTGTTTTTATGATAGATGGCTTCAATTTCTAGTTGAAGATGTATTTGCTCTGTGTGAATTCATAGCCATTGCGTATATATACATATATAATTTTTTTTACGGAAGGAAAGTGAATGTAAAATTGCTCAATTTTTTTTAGTTAAATTTGAATATATTTCATTTATTATATTAACTTAGGCTATTAGTTGTTTCAGTTTATATAAATTGTGTGTCTTAAGATTCAATCAACTATTCTGAAAAAGGTGTCGAGTCACGGATACCTTAGTTTATGGATTGTTACTAGTTAAGCAGAAGCGCTGTTTTATTGCAAACTCAGAAAATGTCTACGCCTCGTAAAGTCACTATCGATCATTATTGACCTGTCATTCATTGATAGGTGAACAGTCACCGATAGTTTGTTAAACTGTCAAAATAATGAGCGAAATCTAAAAAAATGAATTATTTTGAAAAGAAAATCCGACAGACCCATCCCGAAGGAGTGACCTGCATTTGCTGATTATAACGAAATGGCATTATGACATAACTTATGATACATTTCCTTTTCGCCGCAATTATGACTCGCATCTTTCACTCTTTATTATGTTCCATAGTATTATTAGTAATAGCCTCTAGCTTTCGTTCAATTGACAACGGTACTGTAGTAATTGCCCCTTCATTTGGTGCTGTCCCATCATGCCGCTGTTGCCGGTAGTTGTTGATGTTCTCGAAGACGACGAGATGACTGTGGCTGTGTTGATCTAGGGACGGCGGTGGAGATTCTCGCGTAATGCTCCTGCTGTTAATGCTGGAAGCGTCTTTGGTGCGCTTTCTTTTTCCATTTACATGGCCTTCTTCTGCCGCTGTTCTCTCGGTCGCGTTCGACCCAGCGACGACGCCACGACGTTCATTCGACAGCGTCGAACGCCAGCGGTATAGCTGGCGTGTCGGTGTCGTCGGAATCCAACACCTCAATATGTAATAGTGTATCGGTACATGTGCTACAGTGAATGTACAGGGTATGTACGCATACCACTACGGTGTCTCTATCTGTGTACCTATAGTTACTACGTGCGAATCGGGATAAAAATGTAGAATATACCTAATTCGACGACAGTTCAACATGGGACAAGGCGGGAAACGCAACGGCAAAGGATAGCGGCAGGACGAGAGCTTGGCTATATTTGCAGCTGTATCTCTCGTTTGTGTTTAGCGTCACGGCTGCCTTACGGCCGCCGTCATCATGATCCTCAATATGATCATCCCATCTCGTACGGAGAGGGAGGAGCTCGCGTACTCACAATTTTTATCTTTGACTTTTCCTGGAGAGTCGTCGCGAGCGGTGCGCGGATGGCCTTTGAGTAGCACCGCCATCGCCGCGGTCGGCAGCAGTAACGGTAACATTAGAATCGATGTATCCAGCAACCAGCCATCACCACGAGATATTAGCTACGATGACATTGCGACTCTCTGTAGTAACTACAACTGCAGCAGAAGGAAAGACGAAACACAGACTCTCATAGACTAAAGATACGTAGATAAATCGAGTGCAAAAAAAAGATCAAAATGTGACAATCTTAACTAGCTTTTAGCGTTTGGCCACAGGTCGAACCGCTGCTGCTGTTCCCAGTTAATGCGCGCTTTGGGCCGATTTCGTTGGCTGTTTCCAGCTTTTTGGGTCTGTCAATCAAACATAGACCCCTCATCGCTGGTCGTCGATTTACGTCCAAGAGGCAAATAAAACAGTGATACGCAAAGAAAGACAGAACTAGGTACAGATAAGCGGCTTCTGCCATTGCCAACCTAAAATTCAGGCGTACCAAGAGTATGCATGCAGCGTGCGATCCAGGCGTTAGACGAAGGACAAGTAACAGTGACGTCGACGAAAGTAACAATGGCCACAATAACAATGGTGATGAATCAGTGACAAAGGCAACTCAGCTAGAGCAAATAAGCAGCCATGGGTTTGACACCCCTATGGTTCGCCGGCTGGCGTAAAGCCGCTGACGGCGGCAGCGGTCACGGCGCCAATGGCATCCCGATACCACGATTATGATTCGTGATATTGTTGAATGGCTCCTGTTGCTGGTGCCGTTGCAAGCCTGCACGGCGATGAACGTCAAGGCGAGCGAATTGAGACATTACGGACGGTCCTGTATCGACGACAGTAGCAGCGGCAGAGCGATAGAGAGCAGGCAGCACCTTCACTTAAATCATTTTAGATAGTACTGGTAGAAGGTTTTGTAAGGGCCTGTAAAGACAGGACCAGACTCTAGGCTACCCTTATCCATGGTTGTAGTACCTAGCTTCCTGAAATAAGTCAACAAGCTACTTGGATAGATGGTGATAAAAAGAAACTAAATATATATGTATTCCTATACACAGTTTAGGCGTCGTTTTTTCGAAGGCGAGAACAGAACGGTGAGCAGAAGTTAAGCCGAGTTGTCGTCAATCAGAGATATTATGTCGATATTAGCTAGCGTCATTGGGTTTGTCAGAAATAAGTTACGAAAAGGTTATGCAAAACTGTAGCGTTAAGTGTAGTTTTCTTGTTTTGCTTTGATTATTGCTACCTTTTTATAAAAATTCGAAGTGTTGACTGCGTAATGAAAAATATTCGTAGATGCTTGCACGAGTTTGTCTGACCGGAAACCACGTACGTATCACTGAAAATTCTCATAAGTTATCTAAATAAGTTTCGATGCTGCTTCAGTAAACTTTTGCTTCAAACGGTTGGCTCACAGCGCCGAACAAAGTGTATCTCCGAACTGGCATAATTTTCATGATTTATTTGATCTTTTTTAACTATACTTAACGTTTGTAAATATATGACGGCTGTAGAAGCTCTGCTTGTAGTATGTAATTGCTTATAGTAGTATATCGTTGGGAGCTACAAGCAGCTTATTGAGGCGGAAGTATTTTACTCAATGGAGAATATTTAATTACGAGCGCTTAGTAACAGCGGTAGCAATACGAATGGATTCCTCCAAAGAGTAACTACTTAACGTAGAAAACTCATATATTTTAAATTGCGTACAATATCTGTGGGGTACATGGCAAGGCAAATTGTTCCGTTCGCGTACATTAAGGCAAAAAAAAACTAGTCAAATGAGATCAGCTGTAAGTGTCTACAGTCGAGCAAGGCCATGGCTTGGCCTAAGCTCTAGGAATTACAGCGACAGCATTAAAAAGATTATTATTTTTCACTCTATGGCTTGCTAAAACCTGCCGCCGACCTTTGTCCAGGGTGCGTCAATATGACATGCAGTGAGATTATAATTACAGGGAGAACCGTAAAACCTTTTTAGGTATTACACAACCTGATGTTATTTCAGCCAGTCGAAATCTTTTGTCTTCGTCCCGTATATGTGCAATTCTCAATGTTGTTTGCAACTCATAAATAATTCTGTGGTGATAGAAAACCTTACATATATAGATTCTGCCATATAGATTTGCTGCCTTAGGGGACTGCGAAGGTAAACGACGCCTATCGACACATGAGTTAGATATGACTGTTTACATT